TATAACAAGATAAACTGTAGGTGAATATCTATTTTTTGCCGCTACAAACACTCGTCCTATTACCTATAGGTACCTCGTATTCTGTAATTTTCATAACAATTTCAACTTTCTAGAAGTGAATTCAGCACTCATGTAACTAAAAATCGATCGTGGTAAATAAAGCCGATGTGTGCAGTGACGTGCGTAACTACCACAATAGTATACGTATTAAAAAAACGAAGCCCAAAATTGTGACGTGCATGCATAATGACCCAGTTACCCTTTTTCACGTCTGCATATAACCGTGTGATGCTTCAATAGGTCTCACATATATATTAGGAAAAAAATTGGAAAACTAACTGGAAATCCGCGTTAATAGCAGCAGCAGCAGCAGCATAACCGGTGGTTTTCTGGCCAGTGATTGCAGAAGATAAAGGGCAGGAAGGACAGGGGAAGTGTACGATCCGTTGGGGGGTTAAAGAGATTGGCTATTCGTACGTTATTCGTCCACCAGGTGCCTTTGGTGCTTTGAACGGTGGTTAATGCCTGCTCGTTTTGCTTGAGTTAGTGATGGTATCAACCACTGCTGCCATCAATTGAGCGGTGTTATCTCCCAGAATATCGAAAGCGACAACTACTGATGAGTTCGTAGACGCCTGCGGCGTCTGCTTTGTTTGATCGGTAATCGCCTAACAGAATCATTCGTACTCTTTCAGGCAGTTTAATAAAAAGTAGAAAAATACGTCGGCGATTCTGACAACGGCTGCAAACTGTGTTTATCCTATTTTAATGCTGAATACTTTTTTGCGATACAATAGCGATAATAATAGCAGAAAACACTTTAGCAATAAATGGAGTCTGAACAAAACAGTTTGGGTCCCTTTATTTAAGTAAACATGTGACACAGGCATCTCTGCGCACCTCTCTGTGCGCAAACATGGGGGCTAGGGTAGGAGGCTCGATGATTAATGCAACGTGTCTTGAAGCACTAGTGCTTCAGTAATAAATCGTATTGTGATTACTTTGCGTACTAAGAATTGGCAAACGGGAGCTTGATATTCGATTTAATTCTGGGGAGTCTTTATGCAAAATGCGTTTTTATATACTATATACCAATTTTGCTCAATAATTTTCAACCAAACATGTACATTATTACTATTTAACGGTATTAAAAAATACTTACTCCAGGTTGCCTGGAATACCTCATAACCTTTAGCTCTGGATCCCTTGGACATTACAACGTAATAAGCCGTAACGCCGAATACGAAACCGGCCTTGTAGGCACGCGGCCTCCGTGTATCCCTTTATTAGCATTATGGAACATTTGTCGTTGAAAAATAGAAAACATCTGCTTCCTTTTTTTGAAAACTTTTTGATTTCCTCTACGAAATACAAGGTGAAGGGGTGAGCAAAAGTTTTTCTGTTACAGCGTCATTTGTCGAACTTACCTCTACTTTATCTACTAGTTATACATAAACTGCAAGTGAAGATTCGACATTTGCCAATACTTTGCAGGCACGTAGGTTTGCACTACACTAACTCTACACAGATGTTGTTGCCGCTTTTTCTATTTGCTTCACTTTGTAGGAAAACAGACAAATAAACGGTCTAGCCTGAGGACGTATGCGATCGATTGCGATTAGCACTCGCCAGTACAGGGTGCCAATATAGAGAGTAGGGGTGTGTATGCGTGTGTAGGAAGAGCTATTTGTTTGTAGGTAAATCTTCGCAGGAGGATAATTGATAATAGTCATCGTGCGTTTCTTCTTGTTGATCTGCCAAAAATAGCAACACTTTCACGACGGATAATTTCTTTCGACAACCAACAAACGATTGTACTAACGGTAGCAGAAATAACAGGCTATCTTCTGAAACTAGAGTACATATATTTGTACAAAGAAGACGACCACAAGTGCCTCGCTGCACAGACAAAAATCTACTAGCAACAAGAAGTGCTGCCTGTTTGAACTTTCACTACTGTTTGTAGGTAACTATACAGCGTTATTAGTATGTAGTTCCAGCAACATTGCCACACTGTGGTACTGTAGAAGTACGTTCAAGTTAATTAGAACACAACTAACGAGGCGTGCTGTAAATGTATCTTATTTACTATGCATGCTTTTGTATATAAGGACTTCGGTCTAACTGATGAACCGCCTTTTCTAGTGACACTAGCAACGAAAAAATATACATTTTTTTTTAAGGAAATCCAGTGGATCCGGAGATTTTAGTCATTTCCTATCTTGCGTTCGCAGGAAACCGAAATCATTACGGTATATTAGGGACGAAAGACTTACGAAGGAACAAGATCCTTGCTATTCCGAAAAGTTAGTGATACAGCACACAGTAGGCACATGTAAACAATATTACTGTAGATTATATATATATATATATATATATATATATATATACTTTATAGACAACAATTCTTTATAGACAGTTAAGACGAAATGTTGATGCGCGGTAGGTCTTACCAGGACAACGATATATGTGTTCGGGACGAGTCAACTAGACCAGACATAATGGAAACAAGCATGGACCTTTGAAAACCAGAAACGCATCAAATTTAGCGCTTAAATGCGTTTCATTGGGTCAATGTTTTGTTTGCGGCTTAAGATAATTTCATACATTTCGAAATTAGTACCGTTACACTTTGTATTAGAATTAACTGAATATTAGAAACAAACAAATAAAAATACAGCGCTACTGTAGCTATTGTCGTTCTGTGCTAACCTATATTCTGATGATGAAAAATTATATAATAGATTTTTGCGTTCCCCTGTTTGTACACGAAGCCGCAAGTATTTTCGATTGGAATGTATAGTAATGGTAATAATAGCTAAATATGCGTCAATTATTATATAAATGAGTATAAGGTAATATGATGATCGAGATGTTAAGCTATTTCTACAACAACAGTCTTCGATAATGGCGCACCAGCCCTTCTCATTGAGTGATGTCACGTGTTTTTCTGCAAAGCTAAACTTGCTATACCTCAGTCGAGCTACAAATTTAAATAGGTAATAGCTATATTACCGACCATCGGTCCTAGCGACAACAGATGACACATTCGAAAAAATAGATATGAACAAATTTACAGATAAGGCTTCACGCGACTCACCCTGGTTAACTTAGCTATGGGCCATAACATGTAATTGGATTATGAAGTTGTCATATTTTTCTAAAACGCGTTATCTCTTTTCAAAGGCACGCAGTAAGTGTTCTAGTATACCTAAAATTAATACAGCAAACAGTGTAATCTTTGTTTAATGTCTTAACGTAACAGAATGAATTTTTAAAAGTTCCCTTTGAAAGGTATCGCTTGATCCTAATTAGAAAATGATTTGCAACTTCGAAATTGTAGTACTGTTTTGATCATCATGGTCCAAAATGGTTAGTCACTGACCCGACGGATGTTTGTAATATATAGTTTTCTTTTAAAAAAATACCGAAAAAAACAGGGAAAATATATACCTTATTATCAACCATAGCAGTTTAATGTATTTCTAATAATCTAAACTTAACGTATTTTTATTTGCGAATGAACAAAAAAGAGCTCTTTGAAGAAACAAAAAGCTGGTGACTGGTAAGTAAAGGACACGTAAAAGTGGTATAGGGATGGCGCTGGTCAGAATGATTGAAAGAAGGTAACGGAAGAACGGTTAGTTCCCTCGATGATGAGAGAGCACAGAGCATGAGCAGACAATTTAATAACAACACGTTTTGATGAGTCTTTTTTTGCGAGTGGAACGACTATTTCTGAGTTTATTAGTGATGACATTGGCGTGCAGTCTGTTCTCGTTGGTCCAACAGCTCACAGCCCTTTGATGGGACGGCGATAAGCCAGCGTCAGGGTGCAGCTCCTGTCATACGGCCAGAACAATACCTTTGACATAGCTGTACTGATATGGAGTCGGGGTTCATAGCTCTAGGCTGGGGAGCAAAACGGTGTGCAGAAGCAACGGCCAGCCCAGCCAGAGTAGTGACGAACTTTAAGAACTTAAAGCCGATATGAAAGCTGTTCTAAGCCACTCACCTGGTGGGTCTTTCAAGGCAGATCAAGCGCATGAGCGTCCGTAAGT